AATTCTTAGAAGACCTTCTAACTCAGTCTCAGATGCTTTCTTTTCTTGATATAATTTTAGCACTCTCTTAATATTATAGATCTGTTTTGCTATGTTTTCTATTTCTCTGTAATTTCTTTCGAGATCTTCTCTGATTTCTAAATTCACATGACTGTTTTCTTGTTTTGTTTTATCTATGTGTCTATCTATCACGTGTCTTTTTTAATATTTTCTTTGTTTATATTCTATTACGTATTGTGCTTTGTGTGTAACTAAACAGATCTACACAACAGAGTCAAATACGATTCCCCAAAAATACTTGCAAAAAAGGAAAAATTTTTTGTTTCTTTAGGTTTTTCTTCTATAACTTCCTTGTTAGAGACTTTGAGGCCTTAGCCTCCTAAAAGACTATAAGCTTCTCTTTGTTCTTTTCTCTTTTCTTTAGAGCTAAAAGTATTGTTTTTTAGACTATTTTTTCTAAAACTTAAAGTTTTTCTTTTATATAAATTTGTGTACAGAAGATCAGCAATAAAACTATTTCTATTAATATTAAAAATAATACATTACCTTTTGATAATTTCTTATATTAAACTAAAGTTGACAAAGTCGAAACCAATTTCGTTTTTTTTAATATTGAATTTTGCCTATTAATTATAGTCAAATAAAATATTTAAATTAGTTATATATTTATAGCTATATACTTACTAACAAAATAATATTTTTTAGAATCAAGTATAGAAAGCAATAGCGAATATGAAAATATTACCAACTTACAAAAAACTCTCAATATTCATTCAGTTGTTGCCCAAGTCAATCAAAGTATTTATAATTCACTCTGGGAGTATTGAGATGACCCAAATTATACAGGTCTTCTAGCAACTTTACTAGACCCAAGGCTTAAAAAAATACGTTCTTGGCCTAATCATATACGTGAAGAAACAATTAGAACATGTCGTGAAGAACTTATTACTATAGCTAGTGAAATTCTGGTACAAGAAATTACTACACCCAATATGACTTCAACTAATCAGTACTTCGCATCAATTTATAATGACGATAATGAAGACAATAATAGTAATTTGTCAACTGATGAGCTGAACAAATATTTGGACATTAATAGAGTTCCTATTGCTTCCAAACAAACTCGACCTTTGATATGGTGAAAAGAACATTAAAAGGAATTCCCAGGTTTAAGTAAATTAGCAAAAAAATACTTAGCTATTCCAGCCACTTCAGTTCTGAGTGAACGCTTATTCTCAGATGCTGGAAACCAGGTAACTCCAAAGCGATCTTCTTTAAGTCCCAAAACTATTTCTCAAATATTGTTTTTAAAAAGAAATAGTGATTTGATTAGTATCGCATAACAGTAGAATTTTAAAACTTAACGTTAAATATAAATATTTGTATTCTTTATCGTTACATATATTATTTAAAAAATTATTTAAAATAAATTTTGTTAAACATGTTATATCACGATGATTTGCTGTGTTTCACAGAACACCGCAGCTAACGCTAATGTCACAGAATTTCAATTAAATGAGTTTAATATCGCAGAATCGTCTCAAATTTTTTCTTTACGGATAGCGTCTTGGAAGTAAAATTTTCCCAAAGGATATGTATGTCCGTGAAACCTTCACGATTATTTAATAGGAATGCAAACATATTTAATGCACAAAATTATAAATCGATATGCTTCCATTTTCTATTGCTGTGTAGAACGCATTTTAATAATAATCTTTTAAGAAAAACCTCAATTGCCATTAAAATATAACATTTAATAAATTAATATACCGATACGTACTGTACAGTATTTGCACTCTTCTTTTTTTAAGCACCAGAATCAGTACAAAACTATCACATAATAGCGCAGGATTACACAGAATGAGATGAAAAAACAACACATCGCATCACGTTAATCACGCAGAATTTGGTCTTAGTCACCATCATCTCTGGACCCGACTTGTATATTTATTAGATTTTTAATTGCTATAGTCGATTAAGTCATTAGCATCATGTATCGGTATCTTTTTGCTTATCGTTATATAATTTAACCGGGTTAACCAAGTTAACCGGATCAACTGAATTATTTAGGTAACTCGATTTGGTATTCCGGTAATAATTTTATATTCCGGTTTGTAATCCGGAAAGCAAATTTTATATGGGCTTAACCCTTAGATTTAACCATTGTAATTCTTTGATTTAAAATTGACAATCTAGTATAGAAAAAGGATGATTGTAATTCTTTGACAATATATTATAGAAAAAGGATAATTTCAATATTAATAAGATTAATGTTAAAACTGTATCTAAAAAAAATATTCTTTATAAATGCAAAAATAGCTTTGTGAACACTGCAGATCATTTTGTCATGTAAGAATCGGAGATTTTGCGATTTCAAAGAATCTTAAATATATGTAATATTTCTAATTAATATGATATATACGTAATTATATTATATTATTTAGTATAGATTCTTAAATTTGAATAATCTCAATGATGCAAAGCGCTATAAATTATTCCAACAGATCTTCGAAAAATCTAATTTCCAGAGTAGAGAGAGTTCCTAGAATAGGAAAATTCCCAATTTACTTGGCATATATAAAGTTCTTTAAATTTAATTTATTTACATTATTTGGCAGCATATCGTTTAACTTTTTCATTGTTGATTATCATTATTAGCATTAGCACATAACGATAAGACCAACCATAAAAGTGATCAACCAAATCACGAGCAAATGTTGCAATTCGGATAAGGCGTACGTAAGTAGGTAACACATACATATCTTTTTGGTTAAATGTTGATTATATAAATTCTATAAATTCTTTGATTTAACCTTTAAATGATTGTGACCCTCTAAACACGTACGACATGCAAATGTTTTATAAATTAATAGGAATGTAAAAATTCTACATTAATTAATTAAAATGTTTAAGTCTTGTCACTCTTTCAATTTCTTGAAACTCTTAATTTTTATTTCAATTCTAATTTTTTACAGTGTGTTTTTAGTGATTCGCTTTAACGAGTTTAAAAGAGAAAAACATGATTCTCCTATGTATGATAAAACCTATGCATGTCACGATTCAATTACTTGTGGAATAAAATATGGAAATAATAATAGTACATTTTCCACAGGATTGCTGAGAGAAAATGTCTTCATGAGTTCATTATTTACCGAAGATTACTTTAAAGGTTCCTTATTATTAGGATACACAATAAAAAAACAGATCTATAATATTAAGAGAGTGCTAAAATTATATCAAGAAAAGAAAGCATCTGAGACTGAGTTAGAAGGTC